GTATTACTATATATACACGACCAATCAAAAACGTGGAACTGCTTCGAGGGCCCTCCGCTAAGGTGGCGCGCCGAAACCAGAGAAAAATTGCCTTCACCAAAAACAGGCTCATTGGCAATCTCCCTACTCATCTCTGCATATAGATGCTAGCAAACCATGCCATATCACGTGATTATATTACCGATTTATATTGTATACCAATGTTATTCTACAATATCCTTTGTGGTTTTTTCTTATACATTGGATTATATAACTATTATGGTTGTTATAACCAAAATGTTATATAATAGTTATACCCATTGTTATGTACCACCTTTGCGAAAATATCATTGAGCAGTTATGTTCTTGTAATATACAAACTGTTATATTACTTGTTACACTCAGGTAATATAACTACTAAATTCAGTGTTTGCTGGGCAGTCATGATCTCTTAGTGGATGGTGACCAAAGCAGCCAAATAATGCTCATCAAATAAAATGATCTATACTCATATGTTTCTCTTATATCATCACTTAAGCTGCAGGTAAAATTTACTAATTAGTAATCACAATTATACCCTAAATCTGAATTCTCATACTTTAATATTATTACCTTAAGAGGTAAATAGGTTGAGTTATGATAGAGGCCTATATACTGTAACAAAAATGTTACAATGAACTCCTCCCCGTCACCTGGCTCGAAGGTATCACTGGCCCCGAGCACGAGTATTGCGTACTGTATTGCGAATTACCGTTTATTGCGTCTGTTTAGTGTTTTAGGCCTATTGTATTTAGGATAAGCTCCCTCCCCTCCACCCTTCCCTCCCTGTCCCCATTCCCCGTAGGGCACTGGCTCGAGAACCATCATCGAGGACCGCTACCGTGGACCATCTACGAGGACACATCATCTCTGGATGGACCGCGAGAGTGGCTAAGTTGCCGAAGCAGCGGAAGGCAGGGATGGCATGGATAGGAGGAACAACTGATCGAGACTCCCGTGGGATGATGCCCGCCAGCCGCCACCATCGCCACAGAGATGCAGCCCCGGTGTGTTACGTCCTATGCGTGAGCGACCGTATGCGGGAGCATCAGGGAGCTAGCATAGGTGTTAAGATCAAAGATCACGTAAAGGGTATTGGGTTCTTGCCACTTTAAGGTGCTAAAGCACGCCTATTTGCGTTTATGTCCCTTCGTCGATAGTTAAGATGAGGATCACAAACAGGTAGTAAATATATTGATTTGGAAAACTCACTCCTTCTACGGGAGTTTGGTTGAAGCTACTGGTAAAGGGTTTATCTGGATTTAGGAGCTAATAGGTTTAGGTCTCGAAATCAAGAGAAGAAGGTATAATTTAACTAAATATAATGAAACAATAGGTTAGAATACATGTAGCCGTTACAGTAAGATGTAGGAGAGAGTATGTTAATCTACTAACATAACGAAATTCGAATACAATGCATGTGTGATCGTCAACTTGTGTAGTATGGGTTACAAAGATAGATGTATATATAAAGGTGTAGGAATGTGAGTTACTTACCGGTGGATGAGCAGAAGAAGAGAGAGAGATGGCGCTCGGTTCTCGACGATAGTGAAATAGGTTTGGTTGAACGGGAGATTCTTGGTCCAGCCCTAAGGTGGACACTCGCCTAGACGAATGCTTATTGAAATGCCAAGAATTAAGTTCTTTTCGCGTGGACGCCCGGCACTGAAGTGATACACTTTTCGCTTGGGTCCTAAGGCAAGCTAGATCAGAATAGGCCCTAAGGTATTTGATCGGCACAACATTTAACTGGCGCGGACAATCGGCTCAAGACTCAAAAAGGAATACTGCTCTACCGGAGGATTGATCAGTAACTGAGGATGATCTGCATTGGAGTTCGTAAGGAAGATTCTGGGTTTGGAGGGGGTTGAATGCAATGTCAGGAAATTTCAGGGAATTTGGATACGTGTTATGGCGTGATCGGGACGTTCGTGTCCGGTTGTTCAATAGGATTCATATTACAGGCCTTCGATCGCGGGCTCTTCTTCGGATTAGTGTGTTGTCAGGATTATCTTGGTGGTGAGGTGGGTACGAAGGTGACGGGTAGGAATTCTGCTGTGCGCGGTATCCGCGGTGTCATAACAAAAGATGCTCTTTGAGCGTCTCGATTTTAAATGTTCTGTTCAGCGTTTCTGCACGTGCCGTTTTTGTTCTTTGTTTGCCGTGATCTCCTCTCTTCCTGCGCCTCCACCGACAATATCGCAGTGTTGGTGTGATTTCTGGAAATGTGTGAGAGTATGAGATGTCGTGTACAGTATAGTATGAAATGATGATATCCCTTAGTTATTAATATATATGTATATATAATCTATGATTTATAATAATTAACCCATGTTCGTCGAGGATCGGTTACATCTGTCGTGGTCTCTGACCTTTGGTAATGGGGTACTGAGGGGTGTTGAAGCGGGGGGAGGCAATGGGGTTGCGTTGCGTCGGACGTAACAGGTGCAGTCCCGTCACACGGGTAGTAAAGAGGCCCGTGTGACAGCGGTGGAGCCCTCGCCCTCCGAAACCGCGGATGTGCCCGGGAGGAATTTTGACAGGCCTGGAGACCGCCATGTTGCCCGGTGCGCGACAGCCAGCCCGCGCGCCGGCGAAATTAGCGCCGTGCCACCCGCCCGCAAGGCCCTAGAAGGCCCGCCAGCGGAAAAGACCAATACCCTGCCATGCCGGAACTGCCGACCAATGCCAGAGCGCGTAGCCCTCTCAGCCCAGCGATCCAACTAATCCCCGAGGCCCTGGAGGCCTGTGAACGGAAACAGCGAGGACCGGAAATCGGCAAGTGATCTTCACTTCGAGCCAGGGTAGCGTGTAAGATAGTGGTGAAAATTGCGAGTTTGAGTGTGAGTGATCATTGCGTGTATTTTGGATTATATCGAGCCACGTTTTGAGTGAGTACTATTTTGCGTGATTGAGTTTCCCCTTTTTGCCACCCTTTTCCCTACCCCCTTTCCCTACTTGCGCTTTTACATTGAGAATAGATCCCCTTTTGGATTTAGCGAGCCGTCCTCATGTGGACCGGCCTTTTTGCGTAGCTTATCTTTTTGAGTTTTAGTGTGGGCTTCCGCCAACCGCGTGCGGCCAGTGCTATATTGCGTGCGTTCGAACTTAGTATCTTGCATTCTTTTTGGACAAACCCCCCCGTGCCCTTTTCCTTACCCGCCCGTTTTGGATATTGTAAAACCCGAGGTATTTGTAAGTAGCCATTATCGCGTTCGGGAACCTCCCCCCTGCTAGCCGTGCCATTCCGCGTTTGAGTAAATGTTCGAGGACCTTCTGAGGTCACTCGACGGTGCTACACCGAACAAGTAGCTGGCGCCATTTGTTGTTTTCGAGATATCTAGTGCCGGTAAGCCCTCCTGTCCCTCCTGCCCCTTTGCCAATACCCTGCTCCCCCGTTCCCTAATTCCCGTCGCCAACTAGTCCCTTTAAAGGTCCGATGTGACACCGCGTGCTCCTGCGTGAGCCCGCGTGTCATTGTTTAGTTTAGTGAGTTCGGAGCGGTTTAGTTTTCTATTCTATTAAATTCTAATTTCTTTTTAAGCATCTTTTCGTTTCTGTTCCCTTCTTCTTTGTATTGGCATTTCACTTGTTAATTATATTCTTTTCTATTTTACCACGTGTTCCCTTTTCTGTTCGAGATCCCTCCGCCCTGTATTTGCGATAGCTGTTCTTGCGAGACCCTGGGCCATTTTCCTGGTCCAGTACGTCACAATACATATTTTTACATATAGTAATAGTAATATGTACCTATACGAATCCGGAGTTGCAAAATACCAAAGTGCTATATAAGGTTGTTTTTTAGCAGATAATGTGTTTCTACCAAAATTTCCATAACTGTTTTCAATTTGGTTTCCAATCATACTCAAGATGTAGGAAAATGTACTCCTAGTTACCCTGAAATCTCTTTGAAACTCATCATCTGAATAACTATCAATGACATCTTCAAAATTGTTTATTCTTGTTCTTCTACCTGTAAATTATGCAACAACTCAAACAAGAACATTCATGGAAAACAGTAAATGTATAATAATAGACATTACCAGACCGTGTATTATTTTCCTCGTCATCTTCACTACTACTACTACTACTATCGCTCAAAAAATTGTTTATGAAAAAATTGATAGCATCCATGTTTTCATTGCACTATTTTAAGGTTATAAATAAAAATAACTGGTTCTCGACCATTTCACGACACTGCCGGTAAGCTGTTCCAAAAACGTGCGTAACCGCACCTTCACCACACGTCACCACGGTTGTACCATAACCATCCGAATCGCAATTGTGGTTGAGTTTCGGAATACACCCTAAATTGCGTTATATTTTTGAATCGACTCAGGTACTGAGAATTGTATGTAATTGAATCAATAGCGAATTGTCCGGAAGAAGTCGAATTGTCGAAAGGTCGAATTGTATCGAATGGTATGAAAGTATTTATTGAAAATGTCGAAACGTCGAATTGTCTCGGATTGTCCGAAAGTATTTATTGACTTTGAAAGTATCGAATTTTATCGGATTGTGCGACTGTATTTAGCGAATTGTAAGATTTAGACTGCGCTAAATAGATCGCGAACTTTCTACGTAGAAATTCGGATTAGGACTTAAGTTAAAATTGATATTGTCATTCGTTGTTGTTTTAGTCGCGATCTTATTGGGTCCATTATTTATTTCGAAATTGTCAAATTTGGATTTTGTTATATCCGCGTGGTTGCGTCCGGAATTGGCACAAAATAAAAAATCCATTTTGTTATTGTTGACCCAAAAAGCCAAAGTGTTCATTTTGTTGAAGTTGTCCTTACTCTTGAAGATCCCCGACGCCTCCGCGGTGCTGAGGTAGCCAGTAGCGGCCCGAACGACCGAATAGAACCGAAGTATACGTGGTTCCTGTTTTGGAATCTGGCGCCCAACAATACCCTAGGTATTATTTCGAATTGTGTATGTTAGCCCTGGGTTGCCTGGAACGCGAAGGAATCGCGTAAGTTGTGTGCCGGTCAGTCTCTCATCTCCCGACGAGGCTCGATCGCGAAAAATACGTCACAATATATTGTTACCTACTCCCCGTACCTCACGTTGGGCACTGGTATCACCTTTAGTGCACTGTGGTGAATCCCTATGTTTCACCACGTGATGGACGTAGGATTTTCGTTAATGAGCTCGTGCTCTGGGCGGACGAATAGGATCTTTGGGTGTATAATTCAACCAATCCGTTTATATTCTTTTTAACTTCTTTCTTGTTTATTAAAAAGACACGGTATATCTGGTTACAATTAATTATTTACGGTTCCCTGAGTCAAGCTCGAGAGTGTCCGTTCTACTTCAATTTTATCTTTTATCCTTATCTCTCGTGGAAGAGTGGATCATGGATTTATTAAACCGATCCTATAGCTTGCCGCGCTATGTGGTTTACCAAGAATCGTTTCAATAGGTATTAGGTATGATTCCTGTGGGGCATATGGCTAAGCTAGCGTAATGCTATCCGCCAATGTCACACAGTCACCCGGTATTTGGATGAGATATGGTTCGCAATGCTATATTGGTCACCAATCACACTTTTTAGGAAGAGATTCAGTATGGCGTGGCAACGCAATGTTGTTCGCCAACGTCGTCTCGTGATTCAGTGGTTCTTTGGATTAGGGAACCTTGTACAGCTGTCGGTGGTGCTATCCACCCGCTGACGAGGTATCTGT